TGGTCGACGGAACAACGAAGAGATCCCATTCTGGGCAAAGTAATTTCGGCCATGGAAACGGGCAAGCGACCTAGTCGCAAAGAAATTACCTCCGAAAGCCCTCTTTTAAAATCCTATTGGGCCCAGTGGGACAGTCTACTTATAAAAGATGGTTGCCTATATCGCAAATGGGAAAGTGAGGACGGTAAATCTCACCGGAACTTGATCGTCGTCCCAGACTCCAAAATAAGAAATGTCTTGTCGGAGTTTCACGATGGGCCAAGTGGAGGACATCTTGGCATAGCAAAAACCGCTGAAAAGGTAAAGCAGAGATTCTATTGGGTCGGCTGTCAAAAAATCCATTGCCGACTGGATCGCCAATTGTGAAAGGTGTATAAGAGCTAAAGGCCCAACGCGGAAGAGTCGAGGCTACATGCAGCAGTATAATTCAGGAGCCCCTTTTGAAAGAATCGCAATGGATGTAGCTGGACCGTTCCCAACAAGCGACTCTGGGAACCGGTATGTCTTAGTGGTCATGGATTACTTCAGCAAATGGCCAGAGGTTTATGCTATCCCAAATCAAGAAGCCAGGACAATTGTGGATGTGTTCAGCAAAAATTGGATTTGTCGCTATGGTGTTCCATCTGAGGTTCATTCCGATCAAGGTAGGAATTTTGAATCCGCGATCTTCAAGGAAATGTGTGACTCCTACGGAATCAAGAAAACCAGAACGACGCCCTTACATCCACAATCAGATGGCATGGTGGAAAGATTCAATCGCACCCTTGAAGAACATCTACGGAAAGTGGTAGACAGCGGCCAACGAGACTGGGATGAGCATATTCCAAAGTTTTTACTGGCTTATAGATCGGCCATTCATGATTCCACATCACGGACCCCAGCCAAAGTTCTGTTCGGAAACGAAATAAAGCTACCTGGCGATTTGATATTCGGTGCTACCCCAAACGACGATGCGAACCAAGATGAAGACAGTCAAAACTATTTTAGCAAAGTCCACGATGCAGTTCGCCATCGAATAAAAATGGTTAGCAACCGCATGAAGGCAAGGTACGATCGAGCGGCAAATACCGATGGGTTCCAAGAAGGGCAACTGGTACTATTGTTCAACCCACAACGAAAGAAAGGACTTTGCCCCAAATTGCAAACGCACTGGGAAGGACCCTACAAGATTGTCACGAAAATAAATGACGTCGTTTATCGCATCCAGAGGAGTGTCAGTCCCAGGTCGAAGATGAAAGTTGTACATTTGGAGCGGCTGGCCCCCTACGGAACGGGAACTGTGCCTATTCGGGACGAACAGGCTTAAGCGGGGGGCAATGTTACGAATATAAATTTAGATTTAAGTTAATTTAGATGAATTCCGTTAATTTAAGAATTTGAATTGTAACGTAAATTTCTACTACGCAGTTTATTCGAATAACTTCACAACAACAACTACTGTATAGATTTTTCTACATCCTTCCATTTCCTCTGTAAGTGTGTTTGTTGCATTGGTAGATTGTTCGTAATCTAGACGTTACCAGATCGTCTAGAAACTTCTGTAGCGACAGGCAGGGCTCATATAAATAGAGGAAATGGAAAGACAGTGAGTCAGTTGTGAATCAGATCGCGAATTGAAACCGTCGTGTAAAGTAAAGTGCAAAGTAAAGTTGTGTGAATAAAATCATTGTAATAATCGTAATCCGAAAGAACCCGCGTTTTATTTGGTACGAATTGTATCGGGAAATAAAACAACGTCTAGTAAAATCCAAGAACGTAACAATATTTTTAGGCAAGTTCCAGATAGAGGGCAATGTATTGATGCAGGAAACTAAAATGTTCCCGGGGAACATACCACATCAATTTTTCATTTATTATTCATTTTATTTTTATTATTAAATGCAATACAAATAATTGTGATCGTCCTTTGTTTGTTGTTTATTTTGGCGCAAATCAAATGTTTTCTTGAATCAGCTGTTTATTTGCTAAATCTTACTAAATGTTGTCTGTTTACTTTTCTCAGTATTATCGCAAAAGAGAGTAAAAAAGACTTACTCTCTGAACTAGAACTTACTGAATAAATGTTAATGGAAAAGTAACCAGACACACCTAATATATGGAAAAATTTGACAGATAATCGAGACAAACACAAATGTTTTTGTTTTGATTATTGCATTATGAATTATGGTATATTCAGGAAGGTAGCCGCATTCTACAACGAATATCTTACTCTCTGAACTTACTCTCTGAACTAGAACTTACTGAATAAATGTTAATGGAAAAGTAACCAGACACACCTAATATATGGAAAAATTTGACAGATAATCGAGACAAACACAAATGTTTTTGTTTTGATTATTGCATTATGAATTATGGTATATTCAGGAAGGTAGCCGCATTCTACAACGAATATCGGTTGTTGTATTTTGATATGTGAAAAATAGTTTGCCAAAACAAACAGATTCATAAAATGTTTTTCTGGTAGAAAATAAGTCCGTTCGTTTACTTTAACATTTACTCAGTAAGAATTTGCAGAGAGTAAAATACGAATTTTTCAAGAGAGAAAATTGCAATAAGTAAACGATCAGCATCCAGTAGAAAGGTTGTATCTACAAATACTTGCGTTTTCCTTATCCATTTTAATTTTTTTAATAATACAAAAACAATAGAAAATTCACAAAACAATGAATTTGCTTGAGAACAATTTTGTTGTTTGTTTACAAAACAGCTGATGGTACAAGAAAATTCTCACTGAGTAAATTTTTCTTTGTAAGAATTTGCAAATACCCACTAACACAACTGTCAAATCTGCTTTCTCAATTCACTCTCTTTTACTGTACTTTTTTGAAGGCTGTGATTTTTTATATTTATCTGAAAAAAAATTTGCTTCCAAAAATTTTTTTCTTCAATTCTAAAATCACACTAGTTTTTATTATGTGAATGTAAGACATTTATTTTTAATTATAATTTACATTTTTACAAACCAAATATACATATTAACATACCAACGCATATAACGTACACTACTTCGAATGTTTCACAGTGTAAGGCGTCATTTGTGTAAGGAAACAAATTTGTATTACAATGTGAGGAATCCAGATATGAGGACTTTGTTTAACAGAGAACGGTTAAAAATCTGCCTCAATTATTACGTTTCTGCTTACTATAAAATAGAATAAAAATACTAGTTACAAAACCAAGCATACTTTCGTAGCAACATGTGTGATGATGTACTTTTATCAATTAAAAGATGATTTTCGAATACATATTAGATGATGGGTGGCATAAACGAAAGTATCGTAAAATGTGTTTCTTTGTATTAGAAATTGCTATAAGTGAAGTCATTACTTTTTTGCTAGAGCTATGCCAAGTCCCAGGATGCCACCAAGTACAAGAGCAGCACCACCTGCAACCGCCATACCCTTTGCCATGTCTTTGTCGCTTTGCTTTTTTATATATTCCTGTTAATGTTATAATTAAGAAATATCCCTAAAATGTTGAATGATTGTTGAATAATAATAACTTACTTCTAAAGATCGAACTTGGTCGTTGGATTCTATGTCTAAGAATGCTCGACAATACTTTAACCCATCTGAATAATTCTTTATTCTGGCATTGCCGAAAGCCAGGTAATATATATAATCACGACGACCCTCAGGATGTACTCTAGCCAATTCTTCTAATATCATGATACCCTAAAAATAAAGCAAATTATTTATTATATGACTCAACGGGATTCCCCGAATAAGTGCACACGTCCTTAAATTTACCTTCCGAATGTCATTTGTATATCTACTGCGTACTAAGCAAAAAGCATATTCGAATTTTGTTTCTATTGTTACAGTCCCATCCAGTTCCATCTCATTGGCGTATTTCTTCTCAAATTTCTGCAACACAGATACATTATATATGGGACGTAGATAAAATCGTTGATCTCACCTCTAAATCCTCTTGGGGTACAACATCGTTTAGTAACTCCTCCATTGTTGTATAGTTATATTGCATAGGTATAGACTTGGGGTTTTGAAAATAATGTGAAATCACCCCGTAAACAATTTTCTTATGTGCCCTGCAATAACACAAATTAAACTTAGAAGCCCGACCAAAAACAATTGTAACGCCTTTCGGAAAGAACAACACAAAGCCGTAAATACATACATAACGACGGCTCCTACTTAACAGCACAACCTAAATCCGAACGTACTCGAGTCGACGTTTTCCCCCAAAAAAGTTAAACATATGTTGTGTTCCCAAACCTCTGCAATGCAGTATTACACCGACCATGAATTTTCATCGACTACATCGCCAGTTATATTAATGCTCAGTGGTAATTTGTAGAGTCTCGGACCTTAAAGTGTCATGCATGCATGACATGCATTTTCTCAAGCTAATTCACATTTCATTTCATTTATTTCATACAATGTAATATAAAAAAGCCAGCATGGCCAATAACTTATATTAACTTATATATAAAAAAAATAAAAATCCAAACAAAGAATAAACTAAATAAATTAAAAATACCTAACAGTAAAATAAAAAAAATCTACATAATGAAATTTAATGCAAACCCCTAACATAACAGATTCCAAACAAGAACCCCAATCCACTGCACTCTACTTAACTGTTGCTAAGAAAAGTGGAGGGGAAAGGAAGCTTAAGGAATCATACATATAAATATACTATATATTCCTCTCTAGCCCAAGAGCAATATCAGAACCACAGACAATAAATTCCATTCATAAAAACAATAAAATAGAAGAGAAAATTATACAATACATATGGAATTTCAAATATATTCTCAAATATCTTCTAAATTGTGGTTTAATGTTATTTTCAAATTGATTATTGGAAAGGCAAAAAATGGTACATGTAAATAGTAAAATTTCAATTTAATCGGATAAAAAACAAAAATTTTACAATTGAAAAACAAATGGGTTTACCACATTTGCATTACTTACTCTGCATTAATAGCCTGTTTCTCTAAGACGATCGAAAGGTTTCGTTCGCTTCTAATTGACAAAAAAGACAGTTTTGGTTTTCCTAAAGTGTTTTCAGACGAAAATTTATTCGAACAAAAGTTTAATCGAAATAACACGTAAAAGTAGGTCATTTGTCTAAAATTGGGTTTCACAAATACGAAATGGGATCTCATTATTCGAACGATAATGTCAAAATCAATCACTTGCTTCCTAGGTTTCGAATCGACAATAAAATCGCGAATTATGCTCCTAAATTATCCAAAAATTCACATAGCGAAGTCATTGAACAAAATAAAAAAATTTGATAAATATTTTACTTACATCTTTTATGTTTTTCATTTAAGATTTTACAGGATAAAATTGAACATATAAATTACAAATACTGATACATTTTTATTTGGCAATTTTGTATACTCAAATATTTGATTGTATTTGTGTATTTTGTTTTTACTTCTCTTTTAATTCTCATTTATAGAACAAGTTGTAAAAATGACATTCAGCTTTCAAAATTTAAACGAAAATAACTTCCTTCGAAATGTTAGCAAATCTTGTTTTCAGTGGCAAATATTTTTGAATAATTTATATTTATTAAGGGCTAAATGTTCGCGTTGAGCGTTTTTTGTTATCGCGTTAACGCACGCAAAAAGTTAAAATATATTTAACTCCGAAGCGCAGCGCACATAAACTTCGACCTGCGTGAAGTTAGCAACGTTGCTAATTTTCGATAACAAAATTTTTAACAAAACTACAGGGTGACACAGAACGACCAAATTTTACATTTAGTACCTTTTTTGCAACTGTGATAAAAATAAATTTAAATAAAAAATAAATTTAAACACAAAAATTATGAATGAATATAACGAAAAAATTTACTAATATTGTTGTATAATTTATTTTATGGTGTCCATTTACAGATTAATCTGTAATATTCCAGTAACAGCAGTTATAAATATGACAAATTTTTAATTTGGAGGCTACTACTTCTAAGGTCAGAAAACTGGATCGGGAAGCTACAATATAAAAACGTACACCATAAACTCGATGTCTAATGAAAGAGGAGATCCTCACGAGCAATTTGGTGTATCGCATGAGCTCCTAATCAGTTTTTCGTTGAAAAAAATTTCCAAATTTCTGGTTTCCAACTGGTGGTCAGGACAGAAAACTGGATCTGGAAGCTAAAATATAAAAACGTACACCATAAACTCGATGTCTAATGAAAGAGGAGATCCTCACGAACAATTTGGTGTATCGCATGAGCTCCTAATCAGTTTTTCGTTTAACAAATTTTCCAATTTTCTGGTTTCCAACTGGTGGTCAGGACAGAAAATTGGATCAATACAAAAACGTACAAAAGAAGATGTATCCATTCCTTCGTCTCTAGCTAAATGTTATAATTGAGCGCACCCTGTTATAGAAATTACCCAATCTAATCCATAGTTGTCCTTTCATATATTTAGCAAGATAAGACACCAATTATTTTCTTTATAATATGTATTTATTTTTTGTGGAAAATGTGGAAAAATTGAATAAGCATGTATGGCGGCTATGGGGTATGTTAGCATATACATGGACATTATAGTAACAAGTTATTGATTTTTGACACTGAACGTATATACATAATGTAAAAATTTAATTTCTTAATGACTAACAACATAATATAATTCCGCACATATTCATTCTCACTTCAATATCCATGATGTCGCTATGCTGAATTAGAAACTAAAAATGTACCTATGTATTCCATACGGGATCTTCAATTGTTTCCTAAAATTAAGAAATTTAAATTAATATATGTCTATGTTTGTATAATTGAGAACTACTTACCATTTATAAAAATATATATTTCATTTGCATATATAGCATTTCCACATTAAATGAAACCTTTTACAAATTAAATGAACCCTTTTCCAAATTAATTAAACCTTTTACAAATAGAATGAAACTTTTTACAAATGGAATGAAACCTTTTACAAATAGAATGAAACTTTTTCCAAATTAAATGAAACCTTTCTTCTTATCCAAGGAAATATAATATTTGCAGTAATTATAAACCAATATTTGAAAATTAAATCAAAGAATATTAACAAATATAGTTGTATGGCTATGTAATTAACATAAATATTCTTTAATTCGGTGTAGTTTTATTTAATATCTTTACTAAATAAAACTAAATAAATAGTAATACAAACTGGGGTATTTCTTGACATTTTAATAAATAAATATTTTAGAACAAGAATTGAATACCCGGTCCTAAATGCGAAACACATATTTGACTTAATAAATTGTTGATGATAAGGTAACTGCTTATCTTAATGAAGGGGTTCCCGACTTTCAGCTTGTGGGATTTTCAAAACGTCGTTAGACGTAGTTAGAACAATCTTGCCGAGTAAGCTTTTGAATACTTCGCTCGATTACATCAACAATGTTATGTTTCATTGAAACTTCACACATCTCAGCTCTTGCACATAATTTTATTTTTGAAAATGCATTTTCGATTGGATATAGCATTGGAGAATAAGGCGGTAAGAATTTAAGGTTGCATCTTTTGGATTCGATCAAATTTTTTATGTCATGTCGCTTGTGTATTTGAGCGTTATTTTCCAACTCTGGATGGATTTTCTCAAAAAAAAAAAAAAAATTCTATAAATAACTTAAATCTGTCTGCATTGACACTGGAATTAGAAACGATTGTGTGATGTACAACTCCCGCGTTGTTTATTGCTGCAATTATAGTGACATTACGACCTCTGACCGTAGGCAGCACAATGTGTGCTCTTGTTCCTTGTCTTGCACGGGCTTGGGTTCTTCGTATGTGAAGATTAAATCCACACTCATCAATTAATATTAATTTTTCTCCTTCTTGGGGTATCCATTTTGTAGAGTCTTGAGCATATTTTTGTCTCAAGCCTAATGTTCTGGAGTCATTCATTCGTTCTATTTCAATAGAGGCCATCTTAAACGTAATTTTTAATTTCCGTAATCCATATTCTATGCAGCATGTGGAAATATTTATATCATTTTCTCTCAACAGTTTAGTTTTTATGGCTTTGAGAGTAATTCCAGGTTGACTTTCTATATAGAACTCGATCAGACTTAAAACTGATTTTAGCTCGGGAAGCTCTGATAATTGGGAACCTGAGGAAGAATCAATATCCTCGCCAAGTATTGCAAGTGGAAATGCTCCAGAACCTACCGAAGCTACATCTACAAGACCCCGAAACAAATTGGGTCAGTATAACAAAATAACAAAAGACATGAAATTGTTATTAGTTAAATTCTATGAAGAGGGGAGAACCATTTACGAGGCTGCAAATTTAACCTGCATAAAAATAAATTCAGCAAGAAGATACAAACAAAATTTTGGAACATTGAAGGAAAATAAGCGTGGAGGAAATAGAACTAAGTTGTTGACACCACAAGTTTGTAGTCTGATCGAGTTCTATATAGAAAGTCAACCTGGAATTACCCTCAAAGCCATAAAAACTAAACTGTTGAGAGCAAATGATATAAATATTTCCACAAGCTGCATAGAATATGGATTACGGAAATTAAAAATTACGTTTAAGATGGCCTCTATTGAAATAGAACGAATGAATGACTCCAGAACATTAGGCTTGAGACAAAAATATGCTCAAGACTTTACAAAATGGATACCCCAACAAGGAGAAAAATTAATATTAATTGATGAGTGTGGATTTAATCTTCACATACGAAGAACCCAAGCCCGTTCAAGACAAGGGACAAGAGCACACATTGTGTTGCCTACGGTCAGAGGTCGTAATGTCACTATAATTGCAGCAATAAACAACGCGGGAGTTGTACATCATACAATCGTTTCTAATTCCAGTGTCAATGCAGACAGATTTAAATTATTTATAGATTTTTTTGAGAAAATCAATCCAGAGTTGGAAAATAACGCTCAAATACACAAGCGACATGACATAAAAAATTTGATCGAATCCAAAAGATGCAACCTTAAATTTTTACCGCCTTATTCTCCAATGCTATATCCAATCGAAAATGCATTTTCAAAAATAAAATTATGTGCAAGAGCTGAGCTGTGTGACGTTTCAATGGAACATAACATTGTTGATGTAATCGAGCGAAGTATTCAAAAGCTTACTCGGCAAGATTGTTCTAACTACGTCTAACGACTTTTTGAAAATCTCACAAGCTGAAAGTCGGGAACCCCTTCATTAAGGTAAGCAGTTACCTTATCGTCAACAATTTATTAAGTCAAATATGTGTTTCGCATTTAGGACCGGGTATTCAATTCTTGTTCTAAAATATTTATTTATTAAAATGTCAAGAAATGCCCCAGTTTGTATTACTATTTATTTAGTTTTATGTAGTAAAGATATTAAATAAAATCACACCGAATTAAAGAATATTTATGTTAATTACATAGCCATACAACTATATTTGTTAATATTCTTTGATTTAATTTTCAAATATTGATTTAAAATTGCTGCAAATATTATATTTCCTTGGATAAGAATAAAGGTTTCATTTAATTTGGAAAAAGTTTCATTCTATTTGTAAAAGGTTTCATTCCATTTGTAAAAAGTTTCAATCTATTTGTAAAAGGTTTCATTTTAATTGGAAAAGGTTTCATTTAATTTGGAAAAGGTTACATTTAATTTGGAAAAGGGTTCATTTAATTTGTGAAAGGTTTCATTTAATGTGGAAATGCTATATATGAAATTATTATTTATGTAGGCGAATCGCTTCAAAATCAACCATTATAGCCGCCATTTCCAATAAGATAGGAGATGCCACATCTGCAAAAAATGTCGTTGCACATTTTCCATTATGATCTAAAAAGTATAAATATAAAAATTATATATTGACATATATATTAGTTTATAAATAATTAATTTTAAATTAGAATGCGTTTAATAAAATTGAAAAAAAAACTATTTTTATATATAACGGGTAAATATAAAATTGTGTATGTTGCATCTGTTTAATAAAGCGTGGCAACTCTCGTCACTTTCCATTTGTAATGGAATAAGAAAAAGTGGAACGAAACGGAATGAATTGGATGCCTAGCAAAGATATCGTTGAGTACTATTGGAAAAAATGAAACAGAATGATAATTTGAAATGGAAAATAAATTTGGCTTATGCACTTTTATTAAAGTTTTCATCGACAACAAACGTGTTTACAAAGTGATACAAAAATATATAATCCAAAATGTTAAAGTGCTTCATTGTTTCTTTAAAAGAAATATTACAACATTGTAATAGCTTAGAAAATCTAACGCATTTTTACAAAGATGAACATGGTCATTTCCAACGAATAATAGACCAATTGAATGAAATGAATAAAACCGCAAAATACCGGCGGCAACTGAAACCATAAAAAACTTTAAGAATGCAGTTAGGAGAGCAAAAACAGACGCTAAAGACACAGACTTAAAGAAGTTAAACCAGTTAACACACTCAAAATCACTCTTCAGATATGTGAAGGGTTGCAAATCAGTTTTTGCACCACAAAATAATTCTAAGTGGTGTGCCGATAATAATGATATTTTTCTGTAGCACATTTGCGACCAAGTTCCCAATAACAATATTATCCTAACCAAATCGACTTTCAATGAACACTCTGCGGATTTATCAATGGAAGAATTAGAATACGTACTAGATCAGAAGAAAAAGCCATCTGCAGCTGGCCTGGATGGTATAACGTACGAAATGGTAAACAACCTCTCTCTCGACAGCAAACGAAACCTTTTGCAATTTTTTATCAAATTGTGGAGTAACTGTAATTTCCTGGAGGAACATTAAAATTTATTCCCATACCAAAGAGAGGTATAAATCTTAATAAAAAAGTGTTAATTCTCTCTCTCCTAAATTGTAGGAGCATTAAACCTGGTACTAAATTAGATGAAATAAAATCTATTTTAAAGAACAATACCTTTGATATTTTTGCTATTTCAGAGACGTGACTTTCTTCTGATATTGTAAATTCTGCTCTTTCTATTCAAAGCTTCAATATTTGCCGCAATGACCGTCAAATACCCAGTAGAGGTGGTGGTGTTTGCATATATATTTCCAGGGGACTTCGATATAAATGCGTTTTTAAAATATCTGTTCATCATTCTGAATCTCTCTTTATTGAGCTACAATTTTCAAGTATAAAAATTCTTTTTGTTGTTGTATATTTGCCTTCGGGTAATATAGATATATTCGAACATGCTCATTCAGAACTTTTTGCTCAATATAGTAATATATTGTTGGTTGGTGATTTTAATTGCAATTTATTTAATCCCTCGAGAGCAAATATGTTTCGGTCACTTTGTACTAGATTAAATCTAAGCATTATTCATAACTCTAAAACTACACATTTTGATCTAAGTAATCGTTCTACATCTCTCATTGATCTCATGCTTGTCAGTGACTGTAGTCTTATAAGTTACATAAATCAGGTTCAGTGCCCACTGATTTCTGACCATGCGCTAATATTTACATCACTCTCTTTGAATTATAACCACTTACCTGATTTTCTAGAGTTCCGCGATTACAGTAACATTGATTGGATTGGTTTATATTCCTTTCTTGATACCTTTGACAAGGATTTAGTAACAGGAAAAGCTGATGTTGATATTAAATGCTCACTTGTTTGTTCGTTTCTTGATTGTCTTTTTACGTTTGTTCCTATTGTTAGAAAAAACAACTTAAGTACTCTGGTGAGCCTTGGATGGATTCTAGTGAAGTCAGATCATTAAGGGATTTAGCTTTCTTGGCGTTCCAAAGAGACCGATCTCTAATAAGTTGGCAAATCTATTGCAAATATAGAAATATGGCTAAATCTATTATACGCAAAAAGAGGAGACATCATTTCGCTAAGGTTTTTGGGAATATGGACCCAACTAGGCTCTGGAATGTACATCGAAGTTCTGGATGTGTGGGAATGACAATGATATGATCAATATTGATGTGAATGATATTAACGAGTGCTTTGTGAATACTGGTAATACCAATACTGACGTGTATTTTAATGTTGATGAATTCCCTGATTTGGATTCGTAATTTTCATTTCGTTGTGTAGATGAAGAAGAGCTAATAGAGGCAATGGGTAAAGTGAAGTCTAAATCTGCATCTCTGATATAATTTTAAATCTTTTCAACTCTATACTAACTTAACTGCTCGTGTGGTGCCCATTCCCAAATCTCGCACTGTACGTGATCCGGATGACTTGAGACCCATATCAATTTTATCAGCATTATCAAAAAAAAAAAAATGGAACATATTATTAAAAAGCAAATGCTTACGGCTTGTGTAAACAGAATAAATGAATGTCAATATGCTTTTCGTCATGGACATAATAGTACTCACTTGCTGCTTCAACTAACTGACACGATTCGTAAAACTATTAATGATGGCAGGATTAGTATTATGGTATCCTTAGATTTGTCTAAAGCCTTCAATTCTATTGATTACATGCGGCTTGTAAGTAAGTTAAAAGATGAATTTAACTTTTCAAGACCGGCTTGCAAATTAATTTTTTCAATTTGTGGGGTACCACAGGGATCTGTCCTAGGCCCACTTTTGCTTATTTTATATATAAATGACCTTCCTTCCTATACACACACTCCTTGTTGCTCAACTTTTGTTTTGCAGATGACATGCATATACTTTTTTATGGTAGACGTACTGACTTGGATGTACTTGAAGGTAATATAAACGCAAATTTAAATCGTTTTGTTGATTGGGCAATTCACTAATGGTCAACCCATCCAAGACTAAGGCAATACCATTTTGTAATCGTGTTTTGCCTTTTTTTAAAATTTTCATGAACAAAATTAGAATAGATTTTGTACAGCAGCATAAGTGTCTCGGTGTAAATATTGACTGTGATCTTTCGTTGAGAAGTCACATTGATGCTTTGTTCGGCAAAGTATGGATCATGTTACGCAGGATCTATTGGTCAAATTTATACCTTCCTCACCGAATAAAATTAATGCTAGCTAATTCTCTTTTACTCTCTCAGGTTTTGTACGGACTTGAGGTTTATTCGGGTACAATCGGTGTTAATATTGGTGTTAAAATTGAAGCGTATTGTGAATACTATTATAAGTTTTGTATACAGTCTTCGCCGAGATAGTCATACTTCTGCCTATGATATTCGATTTCTGAGATGTTCTTTTGAAATGTATATAAACAATCGTTGCATTTTGATTTTTTATAATCTGATTAAGAATGGTATACCTTGCCCCTTTAGACGTTTATTTCAGTTTTCACATTCAATAAGTAATCCTCAGATTTATATTCCTAGGATTAGGAAAAATATATATTCTAGGTCATTCTTGGTAAAAGTTGCGCGTTTGGAATTTTTTGCTACTAGAACTGCGTATTTTTTCTCATAGCAATAATGTCTTTCGTCTGAAAATGATGGAGTATTTTCAAGAATTACTTGAATAGCATATTTAATATACATTTATTATGTTATTACTTAACCAGTCGGATTGTGCTACCACTCATTGGGCTGTTCTTATCTTTCCATATTGTTTTCTTTTTATTTTTATTGGCTTGGGAGCCATGAACTTTGAACTTATGTTAAATTTAATTTAAAAATTAATATAGTTACATAGTTTTTTATTTGTATAATATAACTCAGGTTTAAATTGTCGTGAGATACACTAAATTGGCCACTGAAGTCTTAGTATTATATATGAATCTCTTTAATAAATAAAATAAAAATAAAATAAATTCTAGAAAAAGTGTCTTCGTTAACTGGTGAACTACATGCCATTGAGAAAGCGATTGATATCATCATAGAGGAAGAAATAAGAGCTGCAGCTATTCTCACCGACAGCAAAAATGTCTGTCTTCTTCACAGAAACAATTCATCAAAAAACTAACGTGTTCAGCGTCATCCGAAACGTCTTGCAATCGAACATCAGCAAAGGAACCTTCATATGGACACCGTCGCACGTAGGCATTTCTCCTAATGAAACAGCTGACTACTACGCCAAACACGCAGCAAATTGTGGAAGTATTGATTCAAACATATGGATGGAATTTAGAAACATTATAAAGATATATCACTGACCAAAGGCACATACTTCTCCCAATTTTTCCCAGAACCGTCGAAATTACAATGGAACAAAACGTCAAGGCTTAAACCTGAAAATATCAAAATCATCAATCGGCTCTATTGTGGACATACTTACAGTAAAAAATATCTTTATAAAATGGCATTGTGAACTCCAATCTCGGTAATTTATGTAAAGTTATCGAATACAAAAAACATATAATTTTCCTCTGTAAAAAATATGAGACCCAAAGGTAGAACTATAACTTTTTCAAAATATTCAACAACTTACCCGATGTGCTCAAATCGAATAACCCTCATCATTAGGAAGAACTAATTCATTTTATAAACGCTTGTAATTTAAAATTAGTTGTGTCTGTCTACTCGATATTTGGTAACAATTGTTACCAAACGTTGCTAAATGTTGGCTGTTTACCTAAAAATCCAGTAAAAGAGAGTCAAGTGGGAGAGCAAGTTTGACAGTTCAACAACAAACTTACTGGAGTTTACTGAAAGAATTTTATGCAATTTTATTTTGCAAACTCAGCCATTTTTGGATTAGCTGTTTTATGACCAAACACAAAAATTATTCAAAACATTTTTTTAATTTGCAAAGTTCAATTTGAAATTAAGATATATAAAAATTAGCGGGGCTTTACACTTATCGGGATTGGGATTGGTGTTGAGAGTTTCTCTCTCTTGAGAGAGATATAAGAGTTGCGCTATTTTTAATTTTGTAACAAGCGTACTTTTTGTTTACTAAAGTTACGAATTGACATAAAATTTTTTTCTTGAATCAGCTGTTTATTTGCTGAATCATACTAAATGTTGTCTGTTTACATTTTTAAATATTATCGCAAAAGATAGTAAACACGGCTTACTCTCTGAACTAGAACTTAAAGCGGATTTACATATAACATCTAATCATGATTAAAGGCTGTATCAGGGTTTATTTTCTTAATCAGTCTGAATTTACCATGATTTATCATACAAATTTAAACAATCGTGCAGCAGGGTTTTTTTTAAATCATGATCGAAATCATAATACTAATAGATGCAATGCAGTTTTTGCACGAAAACATACAACTCTCAAACAAAGTACCAAAATTTGCAACTGTTTCTACATGCTGTTTTTTTTTTAAATTTAACGGTTGCCAAATAAAAAATGAATGATCAAAGGAAAATCAAAATTTTTTTCAATTTTGAGTATTTTTATGTGGGTTTTTTACGTTCCAAACGATAACAGCTTTGAAAAAAAATTTCCATTGTTGTAATTTTTCTGTTCATCTACAAATTGCAAAGAAAAATATTTTTGGCGCAAATTCATAATTTTGTATGTATACTAACAAACATCAGCTGATCGGCATTTAGGTCATGATTAATGGTATGTGTAAACAATTAGGGTGTATTTCTGGATTTCGTTAATCGAGTCGATTTAAAATCGTATATGTAAATGGACTTTTACTGAGTAAATGTTACTGGAAAAGTAAACAGACACACCTATTATTATTATTTCCATACTTTATGTATTCATGTATGATGAAATGATAATAAATAAATGAGTACTTAACATTCTGCAAGTATTCAATAACCAGTCCTGGTGAATACACACATATGTGTCTCCAGCGAAATACTTGACAATGTTATGAAGTAAAAAAAATCCATATTTTCAATAAATTCAACAAAACATATTTTCTAAAGCTGAATATTTCTCTCAAGATTTAACCATAGTTGTTATAACTTATGGTGTTTTTACACGATATGTATTTTACATATGTGCTGTCACTTTTTCATCCATATGTAATTCCTTATGTGTGTCAAAATTAGCGGCGTACACAAAACATTTATTTTTGTGTTCAAATCGGCATATGTATTTTACATATGACATAACCTATAAACAAAAAAAACTATTTTATTTTTTCTTAAATCAACATCATGTTTTTATTAAACACCCACAAACGAAATAATAATTTGTAATTGTCGCCTTTTCATCCTTTGACTTGCAATTGAAATATTTTCTTCCAACAATGTGTTTCATTCAAACAGCTGATTTCCTAATGTTTCACATACGAAAATAGAGCGTGTCCTATTCGGAAAAAATACATATGTAATTGCATATCGTTTTGACACATTGAAATTTCCGTATGTTCGAGTTCGATTTCCATATGCATGACGAGTTCGATTTCCATATGCAAAAAAGTGACAGCACATATGTAAAATACATATCCTGTAAAAACACCATTATATGTATTTATAAGTTTTAGAGGCAGGGAACTTCAAAAAGTTTATAAATATATATTATTTAGAAATTTTTGCCAATGAAGGAATATATTTTCAATAAATTCAACAAAACATATTTTCTAAGGCTGAAATTGCTCTCAAGATTTAACCATAGTTGTTATAAGTTATATGTATTTATAAGTTTTAGAGGCAGGGAACTTCAAAAATGTATACGTTAAATTATTTAGAAATTTTTGCCAATGAAGGAATATATTGTTACGAATATAACTTTAGATTTAAGTTAATTTAGATGAATTCCGTTAATTTAAGAATTTGAATTGTAACATAAATTTCTACTACGCAGTTTATTCGAATAACTTCACAACAACAACTACTGCATAGATTTTTCTACTTCCTTCCATTTCCTCTTTCATTTTCTATTCTGTTATTGACGTACAATTCTTGTTAAACGTCATCATTGATGATCGCTTAATTCCTCTTTCTTTGTTACTCCCTCGCCTGTATATGTGTTGTTGTTATTGTTCACTCAATGTAAGTTTGTATGTGTGTGTTGCATTGGTAGATTGTTCGTAATCCAGATGTTACCAGATCGTCTAGAAACTTCTGTAGCGACAGGCAAGGCCCATATAAATAGAGGAAATGGCAAGGCAGTAGTCAGTTGTGAATCAGATCGCGAAT